AAAAAAAAAAAAAAAAAAAAAGAATGTTTCCTTTGCATTCAAAACTTGGCTAACTGTTTGGCACAGGAGGCCTAACTTTGGCCTATCTTGACTTTTGACATGCTTTTGTCACTAAGCTTAATCATTTCTAGGTTTGATTTGAAGTGAGGGATATGCAACTAGTCTTCTCACTTGAACAGTTAGAGGCCATCATAAGGCTATTAAATGGCTTAACTTCAATATTGTTATGTCTCAGGGAATAGGAAGGCCTGAGGAGAGGGAGAGAGATGGGGGCCATGGCTGGTCACCGGAGCAGTCAGAACATATACAACATTTATTGATTAAGTTCACTGTCTTACATGAGTGTGAGCCATGGCACTCCAAATCAATTACAATAGCAACATCAAAGATCACTGATTGCAGAGCACCCTAACAAATATAATAATAATGAAAATGTTTTAAATATTTTAAGAATTACTGAAATGTGGCACAGAGACATGAAGTAAGCAAATGCCATTGGAAAAAAAGGCATTGATAGGCTCCTCAACATATTGCCATAAACCTTCAATTTGTAGAATATGCAACATATACAAAGCACAATAGAATAACACATGCCTGTAGACTAAAAAGACTCAGAATCTGCATTTAAGGACATAAAGCAATTATCTAAAAGAGGAATATTTATTTATGCATCAGATTTCAAAAATAGTTATAAGTTTGTTTATAATAAAGATAAAAACAGAATATTTAGTGGATCTTTCACCCGTTCTCTTTCACATGCTTCGTGGATGAAAGAGTTGAATCTTCAATCCAGTGTCCTTGTCTCCATCATCCTCCATCCATTCATCCATCCAACAGATGACTGAACACCTCCTGAGGGCTTGGACTGACTCTCTGCTAGGTGGTGAGGCCAGAGTGCACAGTTACCTTTTGGTTACACTGCTCCAGTTTCTCGTAAGAAACCTTTAATGGCTTCCTTCAGCCTAGAAAATAAGGTCAACATCAAAATTAAAATGTGGCATTTATCGTGTTCTTTGTCATTTACATCTCATATCTATTCCATCTCTATTCATCTAAGTTAGCATTTCTCAATTCTGACTGTACATTAGAATATCTCAGGGAGATTTTGAAAACGACCAAGGCCAAAGCCAGACCAATTAATTGATTCCCTGTTGTTGAGCATCAGCTTTTTATAAAAACTTTCTGGAAGGACCCCACATGGAAACAGGAGACCTTGTTATTTAAGGCACATACAGTGACCTCATTTCTTTTTGCCAATAATTGTTTAGAAATGGGCACATGGCAGGGCATCCTCATTGCATATGAAGAGATGTCTATACATGTGAAAGTATGAGTCTGGGATAATTTTCTTCACTTTAAAATATTGGTCATGGAGGGGCGCCTGGGTGGCTTAGTCGGTTAAGCGTCCCACTTTCGCTTAGGTCATGATCTCGCGGTTCGTGGGTTCGAGCCCCGCGTCGGGCTCTGTGCTGACTGCCGGCTCAGAGCCTGGAGCCTGTTTCAGTCTGTGACTCCCTCTCTCTGTGACCCTCCCCTGCTCACGCTGTCTCTCTCTCTCTCTCTCTCTCTCCTAGAAATAAATAAATAAATAAAAAACATTAAAATATTGATCATGGAGGAAAGGACCTTATTTTCCCACTGGATGCTATTAGATCTGGATTTTACCCCCAACTGCTAGAGCCCTCTTGTTTCAAGCCTGAGAATGAAGTCAACACATGGAAGAGCAAAGAGATAAGAGACTTCATCACACAAAGACCTAGTAAGCCTGATTCTTCAGAGTTCCTTGATGTATTAGAAAATGAACTGTCTTTTAAAAGATCCAATTTCAGTCCTTTGCCACTTGCAACCAAAGCATCCTAATTTATGTAGCATTTCAGGATCTGCTCAATCCTCCCTGATCCATCCTCTAAAACCAGTCATTTTGTCCAGACAGAGTCATACTGATGCTATAGCCACTCCTGACTATCTGCCACCCCTGGTTATACCTCCATAGTTTTACTAATATTTTCTCTCTCAGTGAAAGAGCACTTTTTTTTTTTTTTACTTCTGTTATGGTAATATAATCCCACCTATTAGTTAGGGTAGACTAAGCTTCTGTATTAAATAGACTCAAAATATATAATTTTTTAAACTTCTTAGAGGTTTACTTTTTATGTACTTAATGGCCCAAATATGTAATAAATCAAGAAACCAGACTTCTTCCATGTTAAGAATCCACCATTCCGAGAGTCTTGGCATTTTCATTTGTTTGCAGCCTACAGAAAGATGAAGAGAGAGCTCAGAGACAGAAAACACCCACTTCTGAAAAACTGTGGCTCAGTAGCATTTAGCTGTTTTGGAATTATGAATGATCTTTCCACCCAGTTGGCATTTTTCTCCAACCAGATTATAAGTTCTTTCAAAACAGCAGCTATTTTTATGTTCTTGCCTAGCTTTGAAGCTTTATTCTGCAATGACAGTCCTCAAACTTTAGGTGCATCAGAATCATCAGGGGTATTTTTTATAACAAGGTTTCCTGAGCCCTACTGTTAGAGTTTCTATTTCATTTGGTCTAGGATAAGGGCTACAAATCTGTGTTTCTAACAAGTTCCTGGGTAATTCTGGTGATACTGGGAAACTGATGACCTAGACTATACTGATTATTATTTTACAGTTCACAAACAGTAAGGGGTATACTTCTGAATTTGTAGTAGTAGGAAGGAGGCCCAGAATTTAGATTTAGTGCCACATTTTTAATCTGTACCAACTCCTCTATCTCCTTCATGTCCATTTATTTATTTATTTATTTATTTATTTATTGCACTTGTTTCTGAACCATCTTATTGGAGCAGGGAAACTTGAGTAGAATAACTTTTCATCTAGTTTCTTAAAAAAAAAAAAAAGGCATAGATGGGGGCACCTGGGTGGCTCAGTCGGTTAAGTGGCCAACTTCAGCTCAGGTCATGATCTCAGTTTGTGGGTTTGAGCCCCGTGTCAGGCTCTGTGCTGACAGCTCAGAGCCTGGAGGCTGCTTCGGATTCTATGTCTCCCTCTCTTTCTGACACTCTCCCGCTCACACTCTGTGCCTCTCTCTCTCTCAAAAATAAATAAACGTTAAAAAAACTTTTTTAAAGCATAGATGGATTTTATAAAACAGAAGAAATCTTAAAATCCATTTTGAAAAAGTGACTTCAGTTTAAAAGCATTAATTTAATTTAAAAATCCTCCAATTTGTCTCAGGGAAAGGAAGAGAAAATACTAGCAAATTTATGACAAAAAGATTTCTTTGGATCATTGATTTTTGCCATGATAACTGTAAGATTTCCAATAAGGAAAACAATATGTCCTTTGAAGTGACAGAGAAGTTTGGTTAGATTTTAAAATTTAATGTTTTAAAGTATAAACTCAGTACAGTTTTATTCCATACAACAATAAATTCCCTTTTGAAAACTAATTGTATCACTGGATGTGTAATTTTCTCTTAAAAATAATAAAGACAGTTTTATTTTGATGAGACTTTTCTGAAATTCTAAGAAATTAACTGCATTACTTAGATTTTCTGGAAGACACTAAGCAAAATAATAAAAGTGGCTCATATGAGTTGCCAGGTCATAAGAAATTGTGATAGAAGCTTATTCATCTTGAGTCATTTAAAATTGAACCAACTCTGGAAGAAAAGAGTATAATGAACATCACTGGGAAAGAGGCACAAATGAGAAATGCTGATTTGTCTTTCTAGAATTGGGGTGACATTTCACTCTTCACTGAATTTGCCAAGACTCAACCTAATACATGTTTAGAGCATTTATAAGGTAATAGAAAGCCTAAAACAAAAGGAGCTCCAAGGAAGTGACCATACTGGAAGAGAGAAAATGTAGTTGTTTTTCCTAAAAGTGAACAATGGTTCATGAAGCTTTAGTATTAGGTGCAGAAAACCTAGAATTGATGAAAATTGGAGACAAGTTCAAAGAAGCTTTCATGTTAAAGTAAATTAAGGCAGCCACTAAAACCTAGAGTCAATAGAAGGGCCAACATACTTTTTAAAAAAATTTTGTGTATCTAAGGAGTTTCATTTAAGTTATACCTGTATGCCCTGTGAGGAGAGAAACTTTAAGTCAAATAGAGCGTGGAATAGAAGAGCTGGTAGCAGAGAGTAAGGCCTGAAGGTCTGATAAAGAGTGTGAGTAAGGCAAAGTTCCTAGCAAGTGAAGCCATAGTTTGGGCCCCAAACAACATAAGCACAATGGATCCTGAGAAAGTAGAGGCCAAGAGACCCCTGAAAGGTTGGATGGTGAAATATGCCATCTAACATATACTTTTGAGAGTGAAAGAGGGTGCTATTTATAAGCTCACCAGGAAATAGACACAAACTGGGACCATTTCTGCAAAACGTGGGGTTATATCTCCTTGACTGACAGGTGAAGGAGGAAGCTGGATATACCGTGGGAGATTATGATAGTTGAAAGAAAATTAGGCAAGCCATAGTTTACCAGGTGGGTCAGAAGTCCAGTGATCATACTTCCTGAATTTTCTGGACCAGTTTTGAACCTTGATGTTTTAGATTTTAAACCAACATTAGTATTTCTCCCATATTGTTAAAACCCTCAGAAATCTCTTGATCAAACATGTGGGAGACCATACTGTGTGAGGGTCAGCATGTACTCAGACCTCAGTAAGAAGAATGGTTCTAGTATTTTTCTAGCTGTGTGATCTATCGCAACCTGTTTCCCTGTCTGTAAAATAGGGACAAGAATAAGTACTTTTTCAGCTGTTGTAATGATTGAATTAGATGGTGTATGCAAGTGTGTGGCATGGTGCTTGACGTACACTCAATAACTCTTTCTAATAGCTCCCATGCTGCAGAATCTTTTATTTTTTTATTTGAGTATGGTTGACACATAATGTTACAATAGTTTCAGGTGTATAACATGGTGACTCAATGACTTTATACATTATGCTGTTATGCTATGCTTACCACAAGTAAGCATCTGCCACCACAGACACTGTTATAATACCTTTGGCCATATTCCCCATGCTGTATCTTCCATTCGTGTGTGGAATCTTTTAAACTAAGACAGGATACAAAAATATTTTATCAGTTTCTTTCTTCTAATGGATTTATTTATTCAATAGATATTTATTAAGCTCCTGGTGCATGATAGACGCTCTGCTAGACACCAACATTAAGAAAAGAAAACCATCTTGGCCTCAAACTTACTGAGATTTCAGAATAGAAATAAGAAAAGAACAGTGAGGAAACAGAATATCAGATAAGGAAACAATCATATGTAATATTTCAACAGGGATTTCCATTACCTTTTCTGTACCTGTAAGAGCAGAATTTGACTGAGTCTTGGAGAATGGCACAGACTTCCCAGTTCCTGAGAAAATGTCTGTGATGAAAAGATGATTCTGATTGAAGTTCAGAACAGAATGGAAGGGTATCATCAGAGTGGCTATGAGTCTTCCATTTTGCTTAGGAAAGATATGATTCTGATTTTTCATCCAGAAAATAAGGTGATCATACCACCAAACATATAACCTGCTCATGAGATAACAGCGTGTGTGGGGTTCTTTGGATCAAAGAAGCAGATTTATGTCTTCGATATTTCTTTATTAGGTAGCTGCTCAAATAGGTCTTATCACGCACATTCACATTTTAAGGAGATTTCCTACTTAAAATTAGTATTAGTTTATAATCATGTGCTATTTATTCAAAAGTAAAAATGGTAACAACAGAGGAAAAAATTTAGGCATAGGAGTTAAAAAGCGATATTTTTAGTCAATAAATATATTGCCCTGCAATATGCAAAGAATATGAATATTACATGGGTTAAGTTTTCAGAGAATCTTCATGTCTCAGATTTGTCTTTAGAACAAGTTATCATGAAATCATTTTGAATATAGGTTCTCCTTATCGTCTCTCTCTAGTAAATTCTCAATGATTTTATAACTTCGACAATGGTTTAATCTAACTCCATAT